CATCGTTGTAATCTTTTTTCTCTATCTCTTTTCTACAAATGCTATAATGGGCACTGCTCTAAAGAGCTAGCGTCTCTTGTGCCATCTACTAAAATTCATTTTCGTGTTACTCGTCATTTGATTAAATCTCATCCTTTTTCTGTGACTGTTTCTAAGTGCTCCAAAAACTTTTATTCGTCTAGTTTTTTTCCTCAAACATCATTTCTTTGTAATTTGCTTTTTTTATCTTGCTTTTTTGATTCATATAATTTGCAATCTTTCAAGTCCTCTGTCAATCATTATCTTGCTCTACAATCTTTATCTTTTCACTTCAAGCAACTTCTTATTCTAAAAGTGGTTTCTTACAGCCTTGTTGGAAGCAAAGATGTTAAAAAAAAAAAAAAAAAAGATAAAAAACCAGGACCTAGCATAGAATCTTGAGGTAGCTCAAAAGTTACTGGAAATGAAGACGAGTGTTAGCCTTTGAGGATGACTTGAGTGGTTAGAAAAAAACGATTTGTCTCAAAAAGTTTCCCTGATAAACACCATATGAAACAAGCTTACGGAGAAGACCAGCATGCTAAATTTTGTCAAATACTCAGTTACTCCACATTCATCTTTAGGTACTTCTAATCACGGTTTGATCTCTTTAAAAGTATTATCTCTTTCTGCTTCATTATCAAACTTAGATATGCAGGCCTTGTTTTAAAGCTTTAAGTGGCATGCCATTTACATATTTGCTAAGTCCTTTAACATAAGCGGTAAGCTTTTTCATGCAAGTCATTTTTTATCATTTTTAAATATTTAAATAAGTTTAAAAAAAATCATTAAGCTAAAAAAAATCATTAAAGAAATAATTAATGTTAATTAATAACCACTTATAAAGTTTGAAGGACGATTACATAAAAAAGTTTTTTTATGTAATCATCATGACAATTGCATTTGATATTTGCGCTATTTACAAATGTAATAACTTAAGAAAAAATAACCAAAATTTTATTTTTTTCAACCTAACTACTTCATCAAAAATGTTCAGTAAAAGACAAAAAAAAATGTTTTAAGAGCGAAAAAAAAAAAGAAATCATAAAAGAAACATGATAGAAATTTTTTTATTTATCATCTTGCAAGCGCAAAAATATTTACCTAGACGATTTCTTATAACATAAAATAACAAAAATAATTACAGAGTTTTAAAATAAAAAAAAGAAATTATGAGCTGAAAAAAGTATGCGTTAAATTTTGTTTTATATAAATATAATAAAAATAAAATTGCGTTAAATTTTGTTTTATATAAATATATAAAAATAAAATAAAATATCAAAAGCGTTGCTTTTGATATTTTATTTTATTTTTCTGTTTTGTGTTGTTATATTGATTAATTTTATCAAAAAATTAAAAAACATTTATTCAAACATTAAACGATATCTTATAAAGAGTTAATTTTTTTTTATAATTAAAAAAAATAAACAACTTTTATTGATATAATTATACATTTTTTTGCTTGAATTTATGTTTGAAGCAAAAAAATTGCAAGAGTTATATTAACTCTTGCAATGTCTTCGTTTATGATATTTATAAGTTTTATTTTGCTAAAAATAATAGTTTAGAAAAACATTATTTATAGTTGTTACATCACCTTTTTATAATTAACAGATTGTGCAATATCAAAAAAGCGAAAGCCAAAATTTTCTTATAATTTAGAAATATTTTTGAGTAAAAAAGTTATTTAAATTAAAAAAAAAATTTCTGTTCTCAGTTTTTCTTCCTCCTTTTCTATTTTTTACAAAAAATTAAATCCTTGTAAACATGTTATAACTTTTAACACTGCATCAAAAATATGAGTATGTTTAATTTCTTTGCCTTAAGGAAGTAAAAGCACATCTCTATAAATTTGTTAATTAATGGTACTTGGAGACTTTTATCTTTGTTTGTCACAAAAAAGCTGGTAAAGATTATTAAGATAGTTTACCCGGTTTTGCAAAGTTGTAAGTTCATGTTTGCAAAGTTATAAGTGCACAATTGCAAAATTGTAAGTACATGTTTGCAAAGTTATAAGTGTATTTATAAAATTAATTTTAACCCTTATATTTTAAATATCAATGGAAAGAAAAGTATGGAAAACAATTACAGAAGAAACTAAAAATACGATTATTTCAATAGAAAATTGTGAAGAATATTCAATCAAAGAAAAATCCAAACGCTTTTGATTTAACTCAAAATGCTGTTAGTCGTGTTATAAGAAATAGTAATAATAATATAGCCTTCATTTCATCTACAGTAAAAAGAAAAGAAATGTATAAAATTATTAATTCTATAGATGCAAACATTGAACAGACAATATTTAATTCCATGATCTTTAACAATGCTGTAATTCAAAAAAAATTCCAATGCAAATTTTAGAACAACATGATAAAAATGTTTCGATCTTGTTTATTTCCTGTAAATTAAAGAAATTAAATTTGACACGAAAAAGATTAGCAATCATTTTTCAAGAAAGAAACACCATGGAAAAAATAAATCAGAGATTAATTTTTGCGGCAGAAGTTACTAGAGTTGCTAATTCAAATTAGATTTTTTTTTAGACAAAACCTGGTTCAATAAACATACAATGCGCTCATATGGCTGTTCTCCAAAAGATACAAAAGCGTAATTGACAGTTCCTGCAAATAAAGGACAGAATGTGAGCCTCATGTGCTTAATTTCCAATTTAGGAGTTGAATGTTTCCAATACAAAAGCAGCATATACAATACACAATCATTCATTAATTTCATCAACAACAAATTAGTACCATTCTTTGCATTAAATCCAAATAAAATTCTTATAATAGATAATGCAAAATTTTATAAAGCAGATGCAGTTCTTCAATTACTATAAGAAAAAAATATTACTCACAAGTTTTTAATAACCATACTCCGCTAAATTGAACTCAATTGAAGAGTTCTTTTCAATGTTAAAATCCAATTTCAAATCCACAAGAAATGCTAATCCCAATATGACTATTCAAGAAACTCTAGAATATATTTTATCACCTGATAATAAATATAGTCAACAGTGCAATACTTTTTATATAAATATGAGATGGTTGGAAAAGACAATAAGGAGAGAAGAATTTATCTAAATAAAATATTTTAAACAATTTGTTTATTTATTTTTTATGTTTATTTTTGCATGCCTTTAAAAAATTATGATTAAATAATGTATGGTATTTTTTTAAACCTATGGAAAGTAAGTATCTAATCTAGAAAAGTAATTAATATAAAACAGTATGCTAAATTAAGTATAAATGTAAAGAATTTTCACTAATTAATCACTTTTTTTTAAAAAAAAACAACACATTTTAATTGCTATGATGTAGTGTAATTTAATATTTTGTATAATTTTTTTTTTTTAAAACTAAAAAAAATAATTTGCAAAAAAATATATATGCACTTACAACTTTGCAAACATGCACGTATAACTTTGCAAACATGCACTTATAACTTTACAAAACTCTGTAATTCATTTCTACAAATGTTGAGAAAAGAAAGAAATTAATTTATGTTAAATGATAATAAAAAATATAATATGCGGTAGTGGTGTAGTGGTAGAGCGCTCGCTTCATAAACTAGTGGTTCTGAGTTCGATCCTCACCATGTCCCCTGGTAGTACCGCGCTCAACTCGTTTCTCTGGGCAGCGGCCTTGTTCATCAAGGTTCGTGTTTCAGAGTTATAGAGTTGAGAGAGGGTTATTGCCACAAATAAGTAGCCTCCATGTCTGTAGTGGCCTTCTCGGCCTTGAGGAGGTGAATTAAAATAAAAAAATAAAATAAAATAATATTAAATTTAATTATTTAATATTAAAAAACTAAAACAAAATTTAGAAAAAAAAAGACATTTCACAAAATGTACATTAAGAAAAAAAGACTTTTAGATTTGTTTTTTTTAACTTGTAAAATAAACTTGTTTTGCGATAATTACTTTTATTGTGGTAGTTAAAAAGTTAGTCTTTAAATAAATAAAAAAATAAAGATAATTTTATGATGTCAAAATCACAACGAGCGAATGTGCTAAGCTGTTTTTTATTTAAAACAAGGCCTAATATGTCAAGAGGAATAGCCCTAACCTCTCCACCTCCATCTAATGCATGATAAAATCTTCCAGTCACAGCAGTTAGCAAGGTTAAAACATGAACAAGTGTAACATGTAACAAACATAAACAC